GGAAACAAAAAAAATTGTGACTCACTTTATCTCAATATTCACTTTACTGCAGTGGTCTGGAACCAAACCCACAATCTCTCTGAGGCATGCCTGTATCTTAAAATATCTGCAAACTGCAACGTTTGCTGTTCCTACTATATCCCCGAATAAATGGATGATTGTTACTAGCTTAAGAAAGAGAAGTATTACCTTAATATTTTAGCTTAGGAATGAGGAGTATTACTATTAACTTAATGTGCAGGTGCATAAAATATCTCTGAAGGTAACAATGGGTGTCTCTGAGACAGGGATTGTGTGACTGGAGGACAGGGATAAGAAGCTCCTCACTCTGTGTCCTTCAATTAACTTTTGAATCTTGAACTTTATAAATATATTGCCTACTCAAAATGTGGTAGTGTATCCAACTTTCTGTGACTCCATGGACTGTAGCCACGGAGTGGGTAGGCATTTCCTTCTCCAAAGGAACTTTCTGACCCAGGGATTGAACTTGGGTCTCCTGCATTGCAAAAAATTGTGAATCACTATACTGTATATCCCCATGCAGATGCAGCAATTAGGTCTTAAAAGCAGTATTAAAAATAAAGGCAAGTTCTTAGGTTTTTTAATCCAGTAAACTGCTATGAAAGAACTCTAAAGTGGCAAGAAACTGGGTTCTAGCCCTTCACATTCACTAGCTATTTAATTTAGACAAGTCATATAATTTCTCTGGGGTTCATGTTGTTTATCTGCAAACTCAAACTGCATCACTTGTGCTACCTAAGATTATGTTAGGTATTTGAAAGTGCTAAATAACAGCATAACATAGTATTAGTCTAAGATAAACAGAAACAAAATACTAAACAAAATCAACACATTAAGCAGAATTTATTTAATAACAAATGAGTTATTTTTTACCTTGGTAATTTTTTATACAGGAATCGTTTTAGATCCTGAAAGAGAGTATAAAAATTATATTATAATAATATGCCTGGAACTGGTTCTCTTAGACACTGTCCTATCCACATCTCAGGTACCTAAAGTATTCATTCACAACCATTCTTGCTTATGCTTTCTCATTTTGCTTTTGATGCTTTAAGGAGTGGTGTAACTTGCAACAACTAATTTTTTTCTCTAAGCCTCAGTTTCATTATGTGTTGAGTAAGCATAATTAAAGAACCTACATTATAAGACTGTTACTAAAGTTTATTGAGAACACTCATGTCAAGTGATTAGCATATCCAGCAGCAGAAACACAAATAAATATTAGCTATAATATTAGATCATACTTCTCATACTACTGTACATCTTGTTGCTAACTTTGAGTTCACTTGAGAATATATTATATTTTTCCACATCCACACTTTTTAGATCTGAGGTAAGTTGACTAACTTCGTGAAACTCGGTTTTCTTACATGACTAAAGACAAATGACAATGTGTGTCAAGTATTCAGCATGGAACATAATTATAACTTAAAAAAAAAAATAGAAGACTACTTAGTCTCATTACACTCTCTCATCTGGGGAATCTCACTGACAATCCAGGTAGCAATCATGAGCTCTACATAGACAAATCAGATACACATTGTTTTGACCCTCTAATTCCTACTACTCTCCAAACCTGAATGCTCATTTTATTTCATGGTATCACCACCAGTTTACCTTTGCTCTCATCTTAAACACAAAATCACAAAACTCAGCTCATCATTTTTCAGCCAAAATCTCCCAATCTGTCCCTGTGTCCACTAATGGCACCACTATTCCCTGTTACTTAGCTTTGAAACTTAAGGTAATATAATAACCCTAAACTCATATGTGTCACTTTAAAAATCACTTGTGAAGTCAAATATTTTTAAACTGATGTTCTTCTCTCCTTTTCGGATGACATTACAATTTAGGTTCATTTTAATACTTATGACTTACACCAGCCTCCCAATTGGTATGACAGTCTACCACTTCTATCTCACACATTTCTACACAATGCTAATAATCATATAATTCTCCTTCTCTAAATGGACAGTTGCAGTGACTCTCAACCCTGGCTATGGAAAACACCAGCAGAGTATAAAAAGAACTCTGACGCCTGTATTGGAAATGCTCCCCAGAGGATTCCCCATGCAGCCAAGATCAAGAACCAATGTTTGAATGGCTCTCCACTGTTTACCGAATTATGTACAAATCCTGTAGATATCTGAGGCTCTCTACAATATGGATGGTCTACAACTCATTTTATAGTCCTGCTTCCTACCACTCCCTCATACATTTCCTCAGCCCCAGATGAAATGGACTGTTCACAGCTCTGCAACACACATCTTTCTGTTTCCTATCTTTAACTTTGCTAGTGCTTTCATTCCAACTATTAATAGTAATACCCTCTGATCTTACTTAAAAAAAATTGCTACTCATCAATTAGAGCTAATCTCAACCACCAAATACTCCAAACAGCCTTCCCTGATAAAGACAAACTGATGTAATCCCTCTCTTCTCTGAATTTTCATGCAATAATGTATGCATATCTATGATCACTTGCCTACTGTACTTTTTTTTTAACCTTTAAAAATCCTTAAGGGGAGAAATTATACCTTAGTTATCTTTATTTCTACCACAGCCCTTATTAGAACAATCTTTTCAAGGGAGATGCTCAAAAGAATTTAGTGATTTGATTATGCCTGGAGAATAAGGCCTCAAAAATACACTGGAAGACATCCAAAAATGGAGGGAAAAAGACATAAAAAATTGCTAAATGTTGAAACACATAATCCTGCAACCTAAAAGAAAAATCAGATTCATACTGTTGAATAATCATTTAGTGTAGTTAAGAGCATGGATTCTGGAGTCTGCCTCGATTGGTATCCTGACTCAGCAACAAACTAGCTGTGTAATCTGAGGAAGTTACTTGATCCTTCTGTGACTTAGCATCATCTATTAACATAGTGATAAAAATAACAGTGCATATCTCATGAAAGTTATTGTAATAATTAAATGAGTATATGTTCAATGTTCCAAAGAATATTTAGCATGTATGTAAGCAAAATGTGCGTGTGTTAGTTGCTTAGTTTTGTCTGACTCTCTGCAACCCCACAGACCGCAGCCCACCAGGTTCCTCTGTTCATGGGGTTCTCCAGGCAAGAACATTCGAGTGGGTTGCCATTTCCTTCTCCAAAAGGAACTATAGGAAGAAAGTGAAGTCGCTCAGTCGTGTCTGACTCTTTGTGACCCCATGGACTGTAGCCTATCAGGCTCCCCCACCCATGGAATTTTTCAGGCAAGAATACTGGAGCGGGTTGCCATTTCCTTCTCCAATATAAGCAAAATAACAGCATGTAAAAATATAACAGCATGTAAAATATAAACAAATATTAATAATATTAATTCCCTGTTGTTTTCAGAAACTAGTACAATTAAGTTTCCTAAATGTAGAATTTTAGTTGTATTGCTGTGTTAAAAAGGCAATGGTTATAAATCATCTGAAATTGCTACAGTGAACCAAAGAGACATAATTGGAAAAAGATTCAGAGCAGCAAACCATCATTTAGAAACTGAAATGGTAAATATGCGGAACCTGTCTTATGCCCGCAGAACTGGGGCGTGGGAAAAATAAAACTGTCTCAACCTCAGGCACCTTTAGTGGCTTCTACCCCCATTCCAGGCAGAAACTCAGGGCCCCGAAAATCACTGCTTTAGTCTCTGACTTCAGATCCTAGACAGAGTAACTGGAGGGAGGCGGTAAGACGAAACCAATTTCTGTTTGGGAAGCGTTACTGCTCCCCACCCAGGAGTCTCAACCTGCTCTCCACTCTCCCCTTCCTGTTATGTGGGGGTGTTAACTCACATCCGCCATGATGAACCCCTTTCTCCCGCAGGATCAATCTCCACGCCTGAAAGAGAAACTCCAGGTGACTCTCCCCTCAATACTTCTCTCCCTCCCCACCCCCCAACCTAATAAGCAATGTCAGCTCTCCGCTGGGTCAGGCAAGGATCCACGGCTCCAGGGCTCCAGCCAGGGAGGCTGATTAGAGTCGGAGTTCCCAAATACTCAGGCGGGTAACCGAGATGCCTGACAGCCCACTCCACCTCTAACCCCCCAAATCCAAGCTCAACCAGGAGGCGAAAGTGGCGTCTTTTCTTCCGTTTCACCGCCCGCACCACTTGCGGCCTAAGCCACCGGGCAAAGTGGCTGCAGTTACCTGGGTTTCTGGGCTGCCTGGTTCTCTGAACTGTCACTTCAGGGACAACTTTTGGGACAGGTTCCTCTAAAAGCCGCAGTCACATGATTTGTGACCTCTTCTGTGCTCCCGGAAGCACTTCCTAAGACTCCGACGCTAGGTGACGCGAGATTTCCGGGGAGGTACTTCGACAAGGGAGCGCGCATTTGCGCAATAAGCCCCGCCTCACGCCCCGCGGGTGCTTTTTGCTTCTGTGCGGAGTTCCGGCTGTCCTCGACCTCTGCACTTGAATAGAGATTGCTTTGAGATCGCGGAACCCTGAAGATTCCCAGAATACGCAAGCAAGAAAACGTATTTGTTTGTGGAAGGTGCATAAATTTCATTATTTTTTTTAAGGGCCCGTTATCTTAAAACCTCTTCTTGTAGATGAATAAATTTAAAGGGAGTGGTGTTACATACTGAACAGCAAGCTCCAGATTGCCCGTGGTGAGAAGCCCCAGGTCCGTTGGTCTCTGATCGTAATTTAATAATCTTTCGGCTTTCCCATGCGAGCTACCCTCGGACTGTGACTTGTCTGGATTGAATCAAAGATCCTTGAGCTTTCTGGAGATCTCATTAATGTGTGTACATCAAGCTTCTACATATGCAGACATGGAGCAACCTTCTTTCATTGGCTCTTGATTCAGAGGACCGTACTTTTAAGGACTGTCTATAATTTTTTATTTGGTGCATTGCTTGTTTGCACATTGAAGGAAAACCTACAGTAAGTGGTAGAAGAATGAGGTCTCGGGGAACTTCTCTTCCACAGATACCAAGTTCAGTTCAATTGCTCAGTCTTGTCCCAGTTTTTGCGACCCCATGGACTGCAGCACGCCAGGCTTCCCTGTCCTTCACCAATTCCCAGAACTTGCTCAAACTCTTGTCTATCTTATCCTCTGTCGTCCCCTTCTCCTCCTGCTTTCAGTCTTTCCCAGCATCAGAGTCTTTTCTAATAAGTCACCTTCGCATCAGGTGGCCAAATATTGGAGCTTCAGCAACAGCGTCAACCTTTCCAATGAAAATTCAGGGTTGATTTCCTTTAGGATTGACTGGTTTGAGCTCCTTGAAATCCAAGGGATCCTTGAAAATAGAAGTGCAAAAGGAACCAGCTACAGACCAAGGTGTGGTGGAAGGATACTAATTTGCTAGTTACCCTTAGGAGGATGAAATGGTAAGTTACAAAGCACCTTTGTCATGATCTTTGCCATTATAAGAGAACTTGACAGTTCCATAGCAACTGACATCATTGAATACCACTTCCTTTTCCTTCCTTTGATTTCTTAGCCTCTAGAACACTGCACTTATTTTACTCACCCAGCCTCCTCACTCTTAAAGGTTGTCTTTGATTCTTCTTTTGTTTTTCTTTCCACAGTATCCTGAGAATGTGATTCCTAAATCTGCACCTTTCCTGTGAGTTCGAGGTTCACATTTTCAGCTGCTTATTGGATATTGTATATTTCTACATACCTCTGTCAGTTCTAACTCAAAGGTACTAAAAACTCCAGTAAACCTGTTTGCTGATCTATGTTCTTGTTGGTTCCATGATTCTGTCAGGTATCATGTTTGCTCTTTCCTTTCTCATGTCCTTTTCTCACTTAACAAAGATTTTTTTACATCTCTTCATTCAACCTTTAGTGTATTCAGAAAGACTATATCAATAGACACTTAAGGAAGCCCAGTTAAACCTTTCTAAAACACTGTACGTTACTGCCGACCAAACAAATCTTTAGTGACATACCATTGCAGACAATAGTTGACATAGTCTTTAATCATTTTATTTTACTTGTAAATGCAATCTAATGTGAATCCTGTTTTTCAGCCAAATTGATTATCTCACCCTTCCATCAAAATGACTCATTATCCCAGGCAGTTGTGGAGGTTCCTGAATTTGAAATGTTTATTTCTCCTGTAGGAGAGGAAAAACTTCTTATGCCTTATTAGATTTTGTGGCTGGGGCTAACAATGAAATTAACAGACAGATTGACAGGAGCAAAACATACAAATTCATTTACTATTTTTACATGTACATGAGAGTCTTCAGAAGAAATGAAGATCCAAAACTTCGTTAGGCCCGAAAATTTATATGTCATTTTACACAATGAACAATAAACTGTGAGGATTAGACAAAACAAGGGGCTTAGGCTAAGAGCAGTAAATTGTATGACGGTGACTATTAAACATATGGAATAAACTAATGGAAAATAAGGGTTATTTTAGTAGGTTTGTTTATACAGGTCCATTTCAGTGTCAGTCCCATCTCTGGTGATAAGAATGTTCTTCTCTTCCTGGTAGAAGGAGGGCACATTTCTCATGGGAAGTTTTACGACAAACCTTTAAGTGAAGGTGGGAGGTCAGAGAGCCTTTCATGTATTTGCTGTGGCATATTTCAGGGTGGCATGTTCTAAACCCCTTCATTTTCTACCTTAGCTATTTAAATCTTGTTTCCTTATAACACCTTCTCATCCATCACATTCTCTTGAATGCTCCTGTATATTACCAAGAATAACTGACATTTATTTGTGCATAATTATGTGTCATAGCTTTAATTTGCTTACCCAGTGAGACCATAGGAGGGGTCATGGTTTCAGGTTTTTTTTCAGTTTCTTACAATGCCTGTTTCTTGCACTCTGTAGTTACGCATTCAACATTTGTAGAATGAAAGTGATTATGAGAAGTCATGAGTCTTGACCCTGACTAAAACTCATTTCTCATTTCCCCCCCGTTTCTCCCCTCCATTTGCCCCTAAGTTTGGAGGCAAATAAAAATATGAACTCTAGCAAGACTTCTAATTTCTGGAAGCATTACTTTTCATTTTAACAAAATCATCCATCTTAATGACATTATTACATAGTAGTTGACCTGGAAAACATTGCTGATTTCTTTCTTCCTCTTGAGTGGCAAGAAGGGACAGCACAGCTTTCCAAGATCTTCAGATACCAGATACCACCACTAATGTCTGCAAATTGAAATACCTAGGAAGATTTTTAATTTCCAAGCATGGTGGTTTCTAAATTATGGCACATCAGTAGAGTTCCTTATGTACTCAGACTGATCTGTTTGCATTTACCCACCAATAACACTGCTGTTGGTCCAGGACTAAGGGAAATATTTACTGACCTAAAAGATTATCAGCACGATGTGCCAATTCTCCAAAGTGGGATGTAACAGATGATTGCTGAGGTTCCGAAAGAAACAGACATTGTATGCGTGCCTATGCACATAAAATTTTTATCTTATTATACAAATTTGCTGCTTTGCATAATAGTACATTATATAGTTAACAAACATACACATGTTCTGACTTTGTTATATCAGAGCCTTTGTTTCTGCTTGTCTTTAGCGTAAATTTCTCTCAGCTGTTGAATACAGCTTTAAAAAAATTTTTTTTAATTCTCAATTTTTAAAAAAATTCTGGTTCCCTATCAGAAAATAAACAGTCATCTGAATTAAGGCTGGTTCCACTGTCTGTGTAAAAATTCTAGCTGGTATGCAAACTCAAATGGGAAGGAGAGGCTTGCCAATTCTCCAACATACAAAAATGAAAATTTTATAACTTATACTGGCAGAGTTGTAAAATGTCTTATAAATTTTGATTCTGCCTGTGGTTTGGAATTTGGTCCGTGGAAAATACAATTTAAGATCTATACAATAACTTTCTGTTCTTCTCTACTATCATCCATTGTTATCACACACCACTCACTTCAGAAATCACTAATTCCCTTGATTTCTGGCTTCCATTTAATACTGAAATTACTCACTTGTCAACATCTTAGACACCCCTGCCATCTTTCCTGCCTGACATAACCTCAAATTTGGATGAACTAAATAAGTGTATTCTCCATGTCTATGCCAAGGCTGCTGAGTTAAGCTGGAAAAAAATAGACAACATTTAACGGACTGTGAATTCTGTCACTACAAACTGTCTTCATTCTAAGCATCTGCTTATCATCCTTTCCATTCCCCAATTTTACATAAATTGCTTATTTCATTAAGAAAATACAAGCTATAATACTGAGCCACTAATGCTACAAATCTGCTTTTGTACTCATCCTCTGTATATTCCTTTCTGAAAGAATGCTGGTGGTGTCACATAGCTAAAGTAATCATTCCATCTTTGCAATGGCTCCAACATCCTCTGGAGTATCAAGTACTTAATGCTATTCTTCTTCTTTTCCTCTATCTTTATTTTTTCACTTTATACTTGCCCCTTTCCATCAGAATACAAAGAATTAGTAAGGTCGATCATGTAATAGTAAGTCTTCATGTAATAAATAGTAATTGAAAAAACAAAAGCCTTCTTAGAAACCACATCTTCTTGCAGCTACCACCCTTTTTCTCTACTTCTGTTCACAGCCAGATTTTTACAAAGTTTTTTAATTGCTGCCTCCATTTATCCCAAATCTAATCAATCAAATAATTCTCTTGATTCTACATCCTATCTCAAAATCAATCAAGCCATCGTCATCTGGTGCAAGCCATCGTCATCTCTCCCTGACAATACTTCCTATCGCCCTCCAGTCTTTGCACAGCAACTAAAATGTTATTTTAAAAACGCAAATCTCATCAGATTAACTCCTTCATTAAAAGTCTCAAAGAGAAAAAAAAAAGTCTCAAAGATTTTCTTTGAACACACATCCTCATAAATATATATATATATATAAATATATATATATTTATATATATATACACACACACACACATATATCTGGTAGCTCAGATGGTAAAGCATCTGCCTGCAATGCAGGAGAACCAGGTTCAATCCCTGGGTTGGGAAGATCCCCTGGAGAAGGAAATGGCAATCTACTCCAGTACTCTTGCCTGGAAAATTCCATGGACAGAGGAGCCTGGTAGGCTACAGTCCATGGGGTTGCAAAGAGTCAACACAACTGAGCAACTTCACTTTCTTTTATATATATATATATATGACCTCATGGGATTTGGCCCTGAATTCTCTAACTTGGTCTTGCTCCCCATGTCATAATCTTACAAGTTTGTTTTCACTTCTGTAAAGTTGCTATGACCTTATCGACTTAGCACACTCTGCCTGAAATACTTATCTAGCATTCACCTCACTCTGACTTATCTCATCTTATGGGTTTCAGCTTAAACTCACTTTCTCAGAGCAAACTTCCCTAACCTCCCAGAGTAAAGTTTTCTAGATACATGCTTTCACTGTACCTTGTAATTTTCTTTGTAGCATTTATCATAAGCAGTTATTTACTTGACATTTATTTCCCTTGCTAGATGTAAACTTCATGAGGATTTTTGTCTTGTTCAGTGATTATTTCCCACATTACTTCCTGGGTCATAGCAAATATTCATACGTTTGTTTGTTGACTAGTTGAATGAATGAAAGAAAAGTCATATAAGAATATAAAACATGATAAGAACAAATCCTTTACAGTGAGAACAGATCTTCTTTTTATTCATATATTGAGATAAACTGCAAAGACTGAAAGACAAAAATTCATCATAAATCATTCAGCAGAACATTCATTAAAAATCAAATGCATTTTCTTTAATGGAGTTCTCACACAGAAAATTTCATTTTATGTAAGTCTGATACAACATTAAATATTTTACAAATCAGACATTTTGTTTTTAAATCTAACTGTATAATCTTGAATGCACTATAGACAAATAAAATAAGATCTTTACCAATTTCACTTCATTTAACTTATACAAGGCTTCCATTCCATTAAAATTTCATCACACCTTGAAAATTACCTGCAGCTTTTAAAAAACACATGATCTAAACTTTATATGGAAAGAAAAGTCTTATGTAGCAATCCAAAAACTGAAAAAAAAAAAACAAGGTAAGAAGCATTTCTTAATACAAATAAATTACAAAAATATCATTTATGTGTGAGTTTCTTTCTTTTCACTGATACAGTCATCGATCCAGAGTCCAAAACAATTCATTTTAAAGTCAATGCTTAAAATACTCCAATGTCACTGAAAAATCTATTATTTTAGTGGTACAATTAAATGGCAAGTCGAATATCAGATTAGAATGTCCCAACTCCTGTACTGAAGTGAATGAGACATTCACATTCATGCCAGATGTCATCTGTTATGCATTACCAGACAGTTTGGCAATCAATAATCCCAATTTTTAATGAAAACTTACTAAAACATTGCAAGAAACACTTCTTACCCCTACATATTTCCAGACTGCTGTAGAAAATACAATTATATTTGAAGTATGGGCCTTATAGTAGGAATCTCTGTTAAAATATGAAAAAGATCAACAAAAAGAACCCACACCAATGAAATTCTATGGACTGATTTTCAAAGTTAGAAATAAGAAAATCCACTGCTAATGGAAGCCCTGCACTGTGCAAATATAGTGTGGTATATATTAAACAATCACACATTTGAGGTATTAGCTGGAAAATATATATGTCTTTATCTATATATATACACCTATACATGGACACATCCACAGAATATTCACAAATCTATTGGCCCCCAAACCAGCAGATAATAAAATTAAATGAAAAGAAATGACATACCAACAGGAAAGTTACACACAAGGAATTTACAAAAGATGTGGTTACATAATCCTTAATATAAGGAATATGTTCTGAACTAGTGTTTTGAGGGAAAATGTTTCCATTTATATGAAACTGTCTATTTAATAGTAATAAAACCAAAAAGGAAGCCTGAATTCAAGGACTGTATTGCCTGCCAGATTATTAAAGGGCTGTACAAGAGTTCTTGAAGATGCTCATTCTACGCACTTTTTCTTTAAAAATTAAATGAAAAAAACCAAACAAACCAAAAACCTTTGAAGTTATTATGAGACTATATAGAGAATTTTATGAACTTCAAGCAGTAGTCCAATGTGGCCAAGAGAAAAGGTCTTTCAGCTATTTAGTACAGATTAAAATTAAGATCTATTGTTCATTTTCAGAAGGTTTTCTGTTAAAAAAAAAAAGATTATAAATGCCCTTTCAGTTGGTTCACTCAGTACGAAGACAGAGTATAGTCTTCAACAACAGTAATATATTACAACAGTATAGTAATACTGAACACAAGCTATGGGTAAGCTAAGTAAGTGCACAAATTCTCCTTTTGAATCTTGTGGTCTTTTGACATAATTCTTACTTAACTAAAAAGACGACTTATTGGTCCTCAGGCCAATATCATGGAATATTTCACTGCCTTCACACAGGTGGGAGATTTTTTTTAATGAAATCTGTTGAATGCATTATTAAGTAATATTAACATGTCACATCTGTTAAATAACACCGGCATTTAAAAATATTACAGACCAACAAAGGGAAGTCAAGAGGTTAATCATTTCTCTCAGTATCTATTTTACATACTAGTGTAACTAAAGATGCAACAGGAAGAACACTTAAGCATGAAAGTGCAATTAAAATAAAGGGCTGGAATTCTATCTTCCTGTTCTTAACAATAAAACCTGAGGTGACATACAAGCAGAGAGGCCTAATGCACACGCACACATGTACCTTAAAGATTCACTTTTCTCTACCAAATCTTTGTAGATCATAAACAAGAATGGAGTGATTATGAAAGAAATACTTATCTAACCATTCAAATGCAGTCTGTTCCCAAAACATAGTTTCACTTATTATTTCTCATTGTTGAGAATTAAATTCTCAGATTTGCTCACAATAAATCCCAAAACTTACAAAGGACTAGCACCTATTGGGAAACAAAAAAATCAGAGGAGGAGCAGAAAAGGTACTATTTACTCTCCCCTAAAATCCTGCAAGAACACTGATGTCTGTGTGTGTTTAAGAGGGATAAAAGTGTAAAGCATTAATAAATATAACTGCTTCCAAACTTCTAAAATACCAGTCAGAGAAGCTAGTAAAGCAATATTCAAAGACTGACAGCATTCATGCAATGATTAAAATGAAGAGGACAAGTTATCACATTAGTGGAGAGCTCAGGTAGCTAAAAATATGATGGCAAAACATTGGGATTTTTGTTAGAAGAGCAGAAAAAGAATCTTACACTTCAAGATAGCTGACACTGAAAATCAACTATACTTCGATTACAGAAACAAACAAACATAGATTAGGTCATTTTACTTCGTAGAATTAACCCAAAATTCTAAGACACTTACTTGGACCGTTACATCATGACATAGGTGACATTAGGACTTACTCTTTACTTGCATACTTTACATGTAGCTTAAATTGTCAGGCACTCGATCAGTCCTTTACCAAAGTCATTTGAACATTTTATCAAACACATTTTATGAAATTTAATGTAATACAACTGAAATATAATACTGTCCAAAAGTCATGTATGACTTCATAATATATAACTTCACTTAACATGATAACTTCACCTGTTCCTTTAAAATCAGGATTAAGGGAAAAACAATCAGTCAACAAGAGTTCAATTCACATAAACATCAATCACAATAGTGTAAATTTCCCATTAAAGCCAGAAAATTAATGGATGGAATTTTTTCATTTAAATTTTTCTAAGTTTTTTGGTGCATATAAACTTTCAGTTAATTAGAATGCTATTATTTTATTTTTTTAGAAACTCATTCTATAGGCTGAAGAAAACATTTTAGATTATATTTTCTTTTAGGCACGGTAATTTAAGGTTACATTTCTAAAGAAAGTTGGTTAAGCTGTCCAGTTTTTCTAGGAGAGTATCTTTAGTTAAACGACTAATTCAATCAAGCCATTTCTATTGATAAGAGAACATTTAAAGAAGAATGGTCTTTTCAGAAGCTCTATTCAACAGATGCTATATAAATTATACTCAGGAAAAAAACTTTAAGTAAAAGAACACACTCTAACTAGCATTCTCCCACACACAGAAAAAACCAAAGATGTGTTTATGTTCTGTTAAATGAGTATGAAAGCAAAATCATAAGACTAGAAATCAAATAGCTTCATATCCAATATATAGGCATCAAAAACTTCAAATTCCAGCTGATTTTTCTAATTTACATTTTTGGATGTAACTGTAAGGAGCTTATTCCTATAGGATTAATTGAATTACTAATGGTGAATAAATTTGAGCTCAAATTTTTGTAAAGATAACCTGCTATAAATCACTATTCTACCTGCTGCTATATTTCTGCTCACTGTTGCATATGGCCAAACAGATCATGCTCTGATCAAGTAAGTGTGCTGTAATCTACGTATATGTTTAAGAGTTGGCAATCAGGTTAAAAGGCACAAGCTTCATTTTAGTAGTAATTTTTCTTATTACTTAGACAATAGTAAAAACCCATTTACTATGGATCCTGCTTAAATGATCACTAAGGAGAAACTGCAGATTTCCAGGGGCAAGGGGTAAAACAGGTAGGTCCTTTTCTTCATAAATTTTAACAGCCTTCAAAGATGTACACATGAACATTTGGGGGCCTTTTAGTTATTGGAATTGCAAATGACATAACTGCAATTTACTGTTGAAGACCCTTTTTGGTTAATATTTATATAGCCATTTCCTCATATTTTCTTTAAAATCTATCGGTATAGCATTTCATGTCTATGCATGGCTTAGCAATTCATAAAACTAAATAAATAGCAAACTGATACTTTACACCAGTTCATTTATCTCAATATATACTTTAGAATATAATGGCAATATTAAAAATATCAATTTTCTCTAAGCTGATAATGCTACAAGATTTTACACAAGTTAAACAGCTTTTGTTTTTTTCTTCTTTTTGATAAAAGTTTCATTGTAAACTCCACACATTTGACATCTGACAAGAAAAATGTAATTTTGTCATAAAACATTTATTCCATCAATTTAAACTAAAGTGTCTCATGGAGTTAAACCCAAAAGAATTTAAATAAAAAGGCAATAAACTGTATATACACAAAATGATCATTCCATAAATATTTACATGACAAGGGAAAAAAATGGAGGATCTAAAAACCAGAAATTGCTACAGGTATGATAATCCTTTCTCAAGACATTTTTAGTTAGGAATCATATAAGCTTTTAAAGTAAAAATAATTACAGAAGCATAACTAAAATAATAATTTTAATTTTCAGTTTCTTACTATTTAAAGGAGCCAGTAGACCATAAACAGTCCAAGATTTCAGGATCAACTATTCAGTTTAGTTTTCAATATCAAATCTTTTTCTTTAGCTCTCATGATGAAACTAAACTTACAGAAAAAATAGAAAGTACTCTAAAAGGTATAAATAAAATTCCCATTCATCCTCCTTTATAAATACTGGTCAGTCGCTCCAACTCTTTACAGTTGTCCATGCTTAAGGCTTCTGCCTTCCTTCGGAGTCGTTCATCATGGTAAACTTTTGCTGCATACTGCATATCTGTTTCTGTTAACAAACAAAAATATTTTGCTAAGTAAATAATTTAGATCAACTAGTTGTTTAAACTCATGATGCTTCATAGAAGCCCTTCAATATATTTCTATTAATTGTTTTTTATTTTAAAATTTATTTGGCTAGGCCAAGTCTTAGTTGCAGCACACAGGATCTTCAACCTTCACTGTAGCATGTGGAATCTTTAATTTTGGCATGTGAACTCTTAGTTGCTGCATGTAGGATCTAATTTCCTGACCAAGGATCGAACTGGGGACCCCTGCATTAGGACCTCAGAGTCCCAGCCATTGGACCACCAGGGAAGTCTCTTATTATCTGGTTTTTGTTTGTTTGTTTGTTTGTTTTTTTAAAGAAACCCAAGTACTAGACCTAAAAGCCATGTGGAGTCCTACCATGTAAAATAAATACAAGTTGCTCTAGAAAAGAAATAAGGATAGTATCGTATCAACCCTTTCCCTCCTCCACTCCTGTCCCCAAAGGTTTAAAAACAACTGCCCTAAAGCATCCTCTTGATCTCTTTCCCCAAAGATGTCATATGCTATTCAATACTGTCAGTGGTTGTTTTTGCTGTGACCTTTGTTGAAGTTCCAGATTAATTAATTATGCTGAGATCTGAGAAGAAAAATTTACAATCTTGTTCTGAGTTTATTTGAATTAATGCAGGGGCCCAGGTTCGATCCTTTCATGCCACAGCTAAAGATCCAAGTGCTACAACTAAGATCTGGCACAGCCAAATAAACCAATAATTTTTAAAAACCATATATACTAAATTTATTGAAGGAACACAAAAAAGAAAAAAACCTTGCTATACAATCAGAGTAGTGGTATTTAGCAAATAAGTACTTTTGAGCCTTCCTTCAATATGTAGGTAACATTAGTAAAGAAATATAGACTAGAAATCAAACATTCTTCAGGGAACGTATTCCTTGTCATTTTCCTGGTAGTCTCAGCTATTTTACTATTAACACTTCTAAAGGGTGGGAGCAGTTTAGATAAGATGTAACCAAAAACAGTGACTAAATTAGAAGACATCAATCAGGACCATATTCAAAATAAACTCATAGATAAGAGTGTAATCTATTTGTAAAAATCTTCAGAAACAGAAATGATCAGTTAGGTTAGGATTTAACCAATCAATCGAAATCATTCCACTGCTTTTATAAGTGAGGCACTTGTAAAATCCATCTGCAGATGATTCTTTTCAAGTGAGGTAGATAAACCAAAGTTCACAGAGCTAGTAAATGGCAGAATCTAGATGCCAATTCAAATCTTTACCTCCTAGCCTAATATTCTTTCCATTACCTCAAATTACTGCTTGTATTTTATAAAACACCCATTTTACCAATCTAGACCTCTGACAGTATTAGAAGTGACTTCAAAACAGAAAAATGCTAACAAAAGAGTATCCAAGCCTTTAACCTATAGATATGCTGAATTTTATTTTAAAAATTTCAAATATATACAGGTTAAAGAGTACCACAATAAACACTCTAAAGCCCTTTACCTTGACTGACTAATTTTTCACATTCTGTCAAATCTGCTTTAGCATTCTACACTAAAGGCTGCCATTACTGTTGTGGTGGCAATTATTTGGAAGAACTTTTTGAGAGTAAGTTACAGGCATCATGACCTTTCATTCCTAATACTTCAGCAAGTTTCTCCTAAGAACAAGGGCATTCTCTTATATAACCACATTACAATTTTCAAATCCATAAATTTAACAATGACATAATACTATTAGACATAATACTATTATCTAATACATAGTCCATATTCAAATTTCACCAATTGTCCCAATGATGTCCTTTATAACTGTTTCCTCTCACCCAGGATTCAATTTAGGATCACATACTATATTCAGTTGTCATGTCTCTTTGTCTTTAAGAGCTTTGTCTTGTTTCATTGATATTTTTTAACACAAGCAAGTTGTTTTACAAATAATGACATTAAAACAGATTTACCAAAAAAAAACACAAAACAGATTTAGCTAAAACTTCTGATAGTAACTTTAAAAGACACATGTAAATGTGTACAGTATAGCTATAGACAATGTGATATAGTGGACAGAAGATGGACTGAAGGGTCCATGAAACCAATTGATAGCAATCTTGTTGAACTGTTAAGAGATTAAATTATGCCAAGAAAAACCACATGGCTCATGCTAGGGAAGGAGTAAAACAAAATGACAATAAATAATAATATAGAATACATATGGGTACAAGGCATTATGCTAAGTGTTAACAAATATTATCTGTTCTGGTCCATATTTTAATGATGAGATAACTGAGATTTAGAGAGGTTAAGTAACTTGGCCTAGGTAACTGTGTTGCTGAAGCCAGGATCTCACAAGGGATTCCCAGAGTCAACACTTTAAACATAACATTACACTTTCATCCATAAATGTGAGTATCTTTCCTCCTTTCTATTTTTGCAGTCACTTCCCTATTATTTAAGGTAATAGAATATAAGCATGCAAAACTCAAAAATCACCCGTTTTTAGCTGGGGACTAGAAATTGTATTTGAAAGTGATATATCTAATGTGCTCATCATTCTTTTAGCACAAAATACGTAGGCCTTTCATTCATTCATTCATTCATTCATGTGTGTGTGAGTATTAGTTGCTCAGCTGTGTCTGACTCTTTGCAACCCTATGGACTGTAGCTCACCAGGCTCCTCTGTCCATGGAATTCTCTGGGCAAGAATACTGGAGTGGGTTGCCATTCTCTTCTCCAGGGGATCATTCTAACCCAGAGAGTGAACCTGGGTCTCCCACATTGCAGGGAGATTCTTTACCATCTGAGACACCAGAGCCCTGTGATTCATTCATACGAATCCATTACTCATTCATTCAACAATTGTGTGCGGTACTACAGATAAAAAAATTAAGTAAAATAAAATTAAATAAATAAAATTTGATAGATAGTTCTCTTAAGACATTTGGCTAATGCACAGTTTCTCAACCTCAACAATACTGGCATTTAGGGCCAGATAATTTTTGTTGTGGAGGCTGTCCTGTGCACTGCAGAATGTTTCAGCAGCATCCCTGGCCTTAACCCATTTAGATGCTAGAAGCAATTTCTTCTACTCCCACTCCATGCTGATGCACATTGTTTCCATACATTATCAAATGTCCACTGGGAGGTGGGAGCAAATCATTCCCAGTTGAAAACCACTAGTCTAAGGTAACCTTCTCCACATTGAAAACATACTGATTCACAGATTCAGAAACCACGGAGGTTTCTACTCTATCAGTATATAGATGAAGAAACCAAGGCTAGAGAGGAGAACTCTTTGAGAAGTATATAAAGGTCATGTTTTATCAAATTTTCCCCAGTAGATAAGAGATAATGTTAACTGCTACCATTTTCTGAGTATTTACTACATGTGAAACAATTCAGCTATTCCCTGATTTAATTTTCATAACAAACCCATAAAGTTAGGTATTAATGAGAAGACTATAGAGCACACTGCCTAGATTCTGAAAGGAAATAGGTTTTGAATCACAGATTACCTTAATGACCTTTGCAAGTTATTAATTAATCTCGCTTTGGCACAGTTTCCTCATATGCAAATTGGGTATAATAACCTCACAGTGTTGTTGTAGATTTTAAATAAGTTAATATATATAAAGTGTTTGGGACAATGACTGAGAAAATAGGTATTATATAAACTATAGTTATTTCTCTTCCCACTCATCATTATCATCCATCTTATACATGAGGTTAGAATATTTGGTACTAATCACTCAGCTAAAAATTTCAGAGCTAGGATTCAATTTCAGTCTATTTAATCCCAAAGTCTATACTATATAATCTATGTTATGACTTGGAACAGCAAGAAAAATAAAAAACTATAATAAACAGTTCACAAGGAACATCTCAGCATATTCTTATGGTCAATCTTTTTATAGATACAACTACTTAAATTAAGGAAGCTGAGGCTGGATGATGCTAAACAATTAGGTGTTCACAAGAACTTCTCTGCACACAAAATAAGTAAAGGAAAATGAATTGTCAACAAAACTCATTGTACACTAACACTGCTACCTGTTGAAGCTAAATTAATGAGTTTCAAAGTTAATTCTGAAACAGGATGCATATTAAAACTGATGACATTACATTGTTTATGCCAGGACTTTCTTTCTTAGTGGTCATAAAATAATGATGCATATTACAACCATCAACATCTTAAATACAATGAAATTTGACACTATCTACTTATTCCACCTATAGTTACTAAGAACAACAATAACACAAATACCATTGTCTTTGCCATGTGCCAAATATTGTTATAAGGCTGCAAGTACATTAAAACACATTGTCTCACTTAAGTACCGGGCTCCGTGTAGGTGCCAGGCAATTTTAGAACACCTCTTGAGTAAGGAAATCTTCAGTAATCAATTCCAAGAGTCTGAATAAGTTTTTGAATGTTAAACATTTAAAATGTAAACTTACTTTGTTGTCTTTCTTTCCAGCAATTATTTCGAATATTAGTCACATAATCTTCTTCCACACTCTTTTCTACCTTTTGTAGTAACATTCCTTTATATTCATTTTTAAAGTCCTTATTGACATAATAAACGACACCCAAGTTTTCTGTCTGCATTTTAATTGTTTGTCCTGATCCACTGTAAAAGAAATGTTTGATCATTATTTTTTAATTAAAAGTGTACATTTTGATCTGCTTCTACAAACCAAGCTAACAAAAACAATTAAAAATAATTTAAAAATTACTATTGGTAATCAAGTAGTTATATAATTTCAAATTGCCTAAAGCTACTTTTTAATGTCATAAAAAAGTAATCATATTTTAATATATTATGTTCTTATAAGTTCTCTCAATTTTTAGTTAGCAAAAATCTTATTTGGAAGAAATAAATTATTTGTAGACCAATCATTGTAATACTATAAAAGAACTAGTAATATGGTTTTACAAGGTTTCCTTTATCTTCATTGTATTACACTGAAGTTTTTTAGAATGTATACTGCATTAAATTTGCTTTGTCCTGATCGCTTATAGAGTATAATATATTGTGGAAAAATACATAAAAAGTAATATTTGCTTTTATTTAATCAATATTTTATAAACAGAAGAGTAACATCATTTCCACTTTAATGACACAAATCTATATAGCATCAATCACAATTCTACTTTTGTCTTTAAAGTATTTTTGTCTTCTGAAGGTTTTTGTCTTTGATGTTAACCCATTACCTATTATATAAAATTGCTATCAGGTTTGAATATAGCACTTCTGTCCTTATCCACAATAGAACAGAAATGTAAACTAACATAACACAAACTTACTGCTTAGGTAAATTCTTTAAAATTAAAGATTTTTAAATGGTACACATGAAGTAACAGAAGATTTGTCACTTAAAAGTTTAAAAGTGCACAGGGCCCTTTAAAGTTATCCAAGTAAAAAACAATTTTGGGGGGGGTGGTAAAACTTCACTTAGCTACTTACGATCTGGGATACAAGGAATAAGGAGGATTAGAGACCATCAACTGGCTTAATAATGAAACGAGGATCAATACGATAATAGGCATCAGCTGGATAAACACAGAAAAACCTCCCTGTAAAAAATCATCAAAAAATAACAAATTGCAATATAACTGTAGTTGTCAATAATCCAACAGTTGTCAAATATTTTTAGAAGCAAAAATGACATTTGAGATCATCTGATTCAGTGCTTCCAAATCTGCCTGATCAAACCAACTTCCTGGGATGATTCTTAAAAATACAACTTTTTAGGTGCTTCACCTAGAGATCCTGACACTGATCTGGAAAACACTGATATATCCTGTTCATGGGGTTCTCAAGGCAAGAGTACTGAAGTGGTTTGCCATTCCCTTCTCCAGTGGACCACGTTTTATCAGAACTCTCCACATGACCCGTCCATCTTGGGGGGCTGTACATGGCATGGCTCATAGTTTCATTGAATTAGACAAAGCTGTGGTCCATGTGATCAGTTCAGTTAGTTTTCCATAATTGTGGTTTTCATTTTGTTTTTTCTTCCTTGGAAGAAAAGCTATGACCAACCTAGACAGCATATTAAAAAGCAGGGACATTACTTTGCCAACAAAGGTCTGTCTAGTCAAAGCTATGGTTTTTCCAGTAGTCATGTCTGTATGTGAGAGCTGGGCTATAAAGAAAGCTGAGCGCCAAAGAACTGATGCTTTTGAACTGTGGTATTGGAGAAGACTCTTAAAGAGTCCCTTGGACTGCAAGGAGATCCAACCAGTCAATCCTAAAGGAAATCAACCCTGAGTATTCATTGGAAGGACTGATGCTGAAGCTGAAACTCCAGTACTTTGGCCACCTGACATGAAGAACTAGCTCATTTGAAAAGACCCTGATGCTGGGAAAGATTGAAGGCTGGAGGAGAAGGGGACAATAGAGGATGAGATGGTTGGATGGCATCACTGACTCGATGGACATGAGTTTGACTAAGCTCTGGGAGCTGGTGATGGACAGGGAAGCCTGGCATGCTATAGTCCATGGTGTCACAGAGTTGGACACAAATGAGTGACTGAACTGATATAATTTTACAGGTTGAGTGACTGAACTGAACTGAACTGATCTCATTTTACAGATGAGGAAGTTCTCCGTCTCCCTCTTTTTTTTTTCCATACATAGACTCTATCAATACGCAGCAGGTTGCAAAACTATTTTTACCTTGGATTTGAGGGTGGAACGTGGACTCTGATGAAAATGGCAGAGCTGGGGCCCAGACCTTTTAATTTCTAGTCTAGAGCTCTTTCCATTTACCTTTCTCCTTCATGTAGTTTAACTGCTATACATAATGAAGTATAACTGCATTAGAACAAGGAAAGTTACTTCTAATTTAAGTTGTTCAGTATTAATCCTAAATTCTTTGACCCAACAATAAGAATTTGCCTTAGGGACATGGACATTTGAGGTTTATCTTCATTCAGACCATAGAATATCAAATGTGAAGGTGTCATATTGCCCAACAGCCTGCCACCCTGACTTCTTCTCCTGGCCCCCAATATCCCTAGGGGATTCTCTGGTCTATACTGAACACCTCTGGCAAAAGAAAATTCATTACTTCCTTTTAAAACAACGTGATCTATTTTCAGACAACTCTATCCTTTCCCTGAGCTGAAATTTGCCGTTTTCTGATTTCTAATCATATCATAAACATACATCTCCTCTTTCTTCTTCTCTTTCATGTCCACTATGTCGATGCTGATGTTGATTGCTATAACCAGCTCGCCCATTTGAAAATGAATGTACACTACCTAGAAAATTAAAAGATTAAATTAGGGAGAAAAGTTATGATCAGAAAAATTATATTTTCCTTTATATTTTTATTTTTTAATTACTAAAATAATGCACATTTGACTAATGAACTTTTATTGCCCTCCTGTGTATGAAGAGTGGACAAAACCTGGAATGATTCTTCTTTGTTTCCCTTAAAGTAAAGGAGAAACTCTTCCTTGATGAAAACTTGAGTAAGAATTCCTCTCTAATACTGCATACAAACAGGACTTTTGTTGTGGCTGGTTGATTTTACAAACCTGGGATCATTAATCTGAAACTCTGCCTTCTGCATTTATCAATGAAACACAAGTACCTCTAGAAATCAAATGATACTACTTTCATTCATTAAAAAAAAAAACCAGCTGTATAATATACTATGGTACAGGTGGACTACAACTTTCCAACATTTTCTTGTTGATGACATTCAAGTTGTTTTCAAAAAAAGGTGACCAATGAGCAATGGCTATCACTGATAAACTATGTTAAGACAAGCAAAAAAACTGAAGATCAACTATCAGAAAGTCACTATTTCCTAAAAGATTTCTAATTGTTCCTAGCATATTTTTAGTCAAAATTATTAGCCTGAATAATTTTTCTATGAGAGGGAATTATATATCCTAATATGTCAAGGTTATATTTTCAGTCATTAATTTGTTTTACATATCCTCTTTCTTTCAAGGATGTTTTACAAAATACCTTATCAATGACCACAATGTTTCTCAATAATATTCAGACAGTGCTACCACGCCAAATTATACTGCTACATTCATAAAGACTCTCGTAATTTTGAATGGGATGTTTAACTCAGCACCTTTTTAAACTGTGGTAAACAAGACTAGAGCTATAATTTTAAACACCTGAGAGAAGCTACTCTTAGAAAAAATTAATTTCCACACAAGCAACTCACAGTAAATTTAAGTAAAACTCAATACTACATATGCTGTCTATTTATTTAGTAATACTTCTACAGTACTTTACTCTGATAGCCTAGTTCAAGTAATTATTTCTATCTTAATGTAATGTAAGTTGTTAAAACCCACTTACTTTATATAGAACCAGATATTCAGATATTTTAATATTTCAATGGAAAGTACCTCCACATGTATTCATAATATATCTATAATGCTATTAATGAATTATCTATGAAGATCTTCAAAGAACCCATGTCAAATAGCCCTCCAAGAGACAGATTACTTCCTATAGTTGTAATAGCATTTAACTAGGACGTTGTCACTGGATTTCCTACTTATAAATCCTTTCTTCAGCTTTATGTAAAATACAGAACATCTTTTTAAAATTAAAATATATTCTGGGAAAAAGACAGACTTACAATAAAGTTAATAAGTCTACATTTTCCTCCTATTTTTGTGAAGAACTATCACAGGATCATAATACTATAAGAAATGTCAGAGAGAGGCACATAAATCTCTAAACAGCCTAATTGGTGGTGAGGATCTCTAGCTTCATAAAATATAATATTTATAATTAATACTAAAATACCTGAAGGAAATCCTCCACCAAAGAATATATTAAACAAATCTTCTGGAGTTATATCAGCTTCACAACCTCTATGGAAATTAAATCTACCATTGTTCTGCTGATTACATGCTTGTTCTTCATTGCCTGTGAGGTCATACTGCTTTCGTTTTTCTGGATTACTTAAAACAGCATAAGCATTTCCAATCTCTGAAAAAGTAATGAGAAGTTGATAAGCAAAGTTTTTATGTTAAAAAAGACTGTACCATATAAAAGCTACTTGTCAAACAACAACAAAAAATACTTGAGGCTAATCAGAAAACAAAACAAAAAGTAACAATTTCTTTTAAAGGTATTATATACATTGCTTGTAACTATATGTATTACCTTCCAATACAATTTTTTATATTGTACAGTCTCCCTACTGCCTTGAACATAAAGGAATGCCCATCTTGCTCTCTTACTATTGTGCTCTATCCCCTAATAGCCTGCTATTATTTCCTGTTTGAGTATCCTAATCTAGTCACTCACTAGTGCCCTTCAAACCAATAATAACAGCAATAGCTACCAAGTGCCAGGCTCTGAACCCAAATATCTTATTACATTATCCATTACTATTCCCACTTTACAGATGAAGTTCCCAAGTTTCAAAAAGGTTACGAAACTTGTTCAAGATCAAATTTATTTTAGCACAGTAAGCTAACTCTCTGCAACCTACACCATAAAACTTTTTTTTGCACATGCCAGCCCAGAGTGAGCTATTCTTCATTCTAATCCTGAACAATTTATTTCTCTTAAACTGTCAACTCCATGAAGGTAGGAATTGTGTGTTTCATTGCAATATCCCCATAGTCTAGCACAAAGTCTGAATTTTTCCATATAGTCTCTAGTTTTCCTATCTTACTTTGCTACTTTTGTGATAGTCATAAAAAGTTTGATTTCCTATCTCACATTTCCATGTCCAAAAGAGCACATTAATTACCAAAATGTCTTCTTGAGGTAATTCACAAAAACTGTACTGCTTTAATCTAACAGCAGGAATTACCGTATTCTTATTTTGAAACTTCTAATAACTAATCATTTCATAAATACAACTTGTTTCTCAAACTAGATCATAAGCCTCTTGCATATGGGATTATTTTTAAAATACTTTATGGATCCCATGTGGTGGTTGTCATAGGTACTGAGCAAGCAAATACATGCTCATTAGGTAGTTGTTTCTGGATGACTACATATCACATTGAAATTAATTATATGCAGATACTGTGGAACTTTTTTCTGATTCAGATAGCTTTCCAGTCATCTGTGAACACTATGGAATGAAAATTTAGGTGAATAGTCCATTTATCTTGAGGAGATGGCCCAAAACTTTCCTTAGATTTCCAAACAGATCTATGACTCAGAAATATAGCAATCATTTATAATGTTGATCCAATGGGAAACCATAATCAGAGATCCAAGTAATGTACTTATAAACACCACCAAGGTACATACCCAAAAAAGAAGCATATCTATCAATATCTGCCAAAGTTGTACTTCCAGTATTAGTAACAGTTTTAGGATTCTTAACCTCTATACACTGAACCTATTTCAGGTTCATAATGCTATTACTTTTTAAACTATTAATATATTGGCAACTCAATTCTACTTCTAAGGCCTTGCTATAAAAATAACTTCCAAATGCTATAATATTTTAAAAGACATTTATGAACAATTGTCATAATTCATAACTGTGTATGTAAGACAATTTAGTCTATCTACTGTGACTAATTTTCTATTTATTTACCTTGTGCTATACCTATAATCAAGACTTTTTTCAGTTCTTTATTATCTTAATAATTAAAATCAAAATTCATTTTGGTATTCAAAGCCTCACAAAATACATTTCCATCTCAGTGTTGTTTACTTCCCAAAAAGATACATTCTACTTTATTCATTTTCCTTTAGTTACACTGTTTATTTTGAGGTTAACTTTAGATTCATATGAAGTTGTAAAGAATAATATAGGTAGACTCTTCTACCCACTACATAATTTCCCCCATGGTAATACCTTACAAAACTATTATATCAAGGATACTGACATTGATAACCATCACCATCTCAGGCTGCCCTTTTATACACACACCTACTTCCTTTTCCTCCTTCCCCCTTTAACTCCCCACAACTACTGACTTGTCTTCTCTATAATTTTGACATTACAAGAATGTTAAATCAATGAAATAACACAGTATATAAATGGAATGAAATCTCCTGGACTGACTTTTTTCAATCAGCTTAATTCTTTGGAGATTGAACCAAGCTGTTATGTAAGTCATTCATTCCTTTTATTGCTGATTAGTTCTCCACAGTGTGGATGTATCACTGTTTCACTAATCACCCAATGAACATCATCTGGGTTGTTTCTAGGTTTCGGTTATTACAAATAAAACTGCTATGCACATTCATGAACAGGCTTGTGTGTAAATATATATTTTTATTTCTAGGATAAATTCCTAGAAACGCAATTGCTGGGTTGTCTATTAGTTAAATACTTAGTTTTGTGAGAAACTGCCAAACTGTTTTACAGAGTGACTGTGTCATCTCATAACCCATCAGCAATGTGTAAGTGATCCAATTACTCTGCATCTGTACCAGTATTTGGTATTCCTACTTTTTAAAATTTTAACCATTCTGATAGGTGTGCAGTAGAATCTCATTTTGGTCTTACTTTGCAATATCTCTAATGGCTAATGAATGATGTTAAACACGTTTTCACATGCATACTTGTCATGTGTATAAAATCTTTAGCAGGATGTCTCTTCATGTCTCATATCCATTTTCTAATAGGGTTGTCTATTTTTTTAAACTGGGAGTTTGGGGGAGTTCTTTATATATTCTGGACACTAGTCCTTTGTCAGATAGGTATGTGCTTGGAAAATATTTTCTCCTTCCTTGTTGCTTGTCTTTTCTTCTACTTCATAACATCTTTGCAAAGCAAACAAAAAAAATTTTTTATCAAGTCCAACTTATCTATTTTTGTGTTATAAACTGTCTAGTGTTAAGTCTTAAGAAGTAATTTGCATAGCCTAAGATCCTAAAAATTTGCTCCCATGATTTTTTGCTAAAAGTTGAAGTGTTGTTTTGGACTTTATAAGATTCATGTTGAACTCATTCTTATATAAAGCATGAGACTTATTTCAAGGTTAAATTTTGTTGTTTTGCCTATGAATGTCCAGCTGCTCTAAAACTATTTTGTTGAAAAGGCTATCTTTCCTCCACTGAATTGATTTTGCATCTCTGTCCTATCTTTATGGGTTCCCATCCTGTTCCACTGATCTGTGTGTCTCTCCTTCTGCCAATTCTATACTATTTTGCTAACCACAGCTATAAAGTAAGTCCTGAAATCAGGTACACTTATTACTCCTACTCCTTTAATGAATCATTTATTCAGGTTCTTTGTATTTTCCATATGACTTTTAGAATAAACTTCCTTTTATCTACAAAGAAGTCTGTTAAGATTTTGACAGGAACTGTATTAAATGTGTGTATCAACTTGGGGAGTCTTGACATCTTTACTATTATGGCTTTCAATCTATGAACATGATATGTCATTCCATTTATTTAGATCCTCTCTGATTTCTTTCATTAATATTATATAGTTTTCAGCATACAAATCTTATACAAGTTTTGTTAAATTTACACCGAAGTATTTCTGGTGTGTGATTATAAATAGTAATGCATTTTTAAATTTCAGTGTCTACATGTTAGTGTGCAGAAATATAATAGTATATATTAGTATGCAGAAATATACTAAATAGTAATTGATCTTTTTATGTTTATCTTATACCCTGAAATCTTGCAGGATTCACTTATTGGTTCTAGGATTTTTTTTCTTTTTGGTACATTCCTTAGGTATTTTATACATGATCATATTATTTGCAAATAGGGACAGTTCGTGTGCCTTTCATTTCTTTCTCTCACCTAAATGTACTGATTAGAATTTTCAACACTATGTTGAATAACTTATATTTGATTTGTTTTATAACTAATTTTCAGTTGTACTTCAGTGTGAATAACAGGGAAAAGTCTTCCTGAAAGTGGAAGTCCTCATTGACTTTTAAATCACTTCCCTCATTCTCATACCCAAGTTTCTGCCATCTTCTCTAACCAAAGAAATCATACTCATCTTGAAAATACATAATTCTCACCTACAATATGAAGGCTTCTTCAATTATTCTGATTATAACTCTACTGTATCTTTCTGGCTTTTCTTTGGATATCTTTATTCTATGTTTTGAATTTTAATTACATTCAGTCTTCTGGGAGATCCTGGGTAAATCAGTTTATCTATTTGAGACTCAAGTTTTCTTACTTGCAAAGGGATGACACTGGTCCCTGTTTACTTCAGAAGATTTTTAATAGCATTAAAGTTTTAAAAATGGGAATGATCAGAAGTGGGATTGCTGGGTCATATGGCTATTATTACAAATGTCCTGTGTGAGATTTGTCTCCTCTTCATAAATTACAAATTCATTTAATAAGATGATATCTCATATTTTCTTCTTGTATTTCTCTAGAAGAACTAGCCCATAAGGTAGACTGACTTCTCTATTCTTAGAAATTCACTCTAGATGTTAAGAATACTGAGGGGCTTCCCTTGTGGCTCAGTGGTAAAGAATCTGCCTGCTAATGCAGATGACACAGGTTCAATCCCTGGTCCAGGAAGATCCCACCACATGCCTCGTATCAACTAAGCCCATGAGCCACAACTACTGAGCCTGTGCTCGAGAGCCTGGGAACCACAACTACTGAAGCTCATGTGCCCTAGAGCCTGGCTCTGCAATGGGAGAAGCTACCGCAATGAGAAGCCTACGCAACATTACTAGAGAGGAGCCCTTGCTTGCTACAACTAGAGAAAAGCCCATGCAACAATGAAGACCTAGCACAGTCAAAAAGAAAGAAAGAAAAAAAAGAATACTGAACTACCAGACCTGACATAGACAGTAGCATCTGATCCATTATTATTTAACAAGCAAACATACAAACAGCTAATCAATGCCCTTTGTAATCAGATTCACGCGTATGTCAACAGGCACATGTATTATTCAAACAGTCTATGAAATACTTGGAGTCTTTTGAAGATAATGCAGACAGGGCATGTTTTGAAAATATCCACATCAGAGAGAAGGAAAGGGATCCATTTCAAATATTTTTAAAGGTATGTTTATATATATTATGCAAGTTATTGTCTAGATGTAAACAAAATATTCCCTGCCTTGAGAAATTCACAAACCTAGTTAAAGGACAGAGTTACATGAACTTAAGAGTTCATTTAATCTACCCTCTTTGATGGTAAGCTTTTGTTTTTAAAGTTTTACAAAACACACAATGAAAATATCTCTTCTATCTAATCTCATTCCTTAACTAATTGTCTCTTTTTCTATTCTAGAAGGAAATTTAAAAAAAAATGGTTTCCATCTTCTGTAAAAAAGTATTTTAGCAATCACAGAGCAATAAATCTATACTTATCTCTTATGCAAACAAAAAACTATTAGACTGAATAGCTTGGTATCTCAGACACAGAAGTTAAGATCAATTGATTAAAGAGAAAATAAGATGATTCAGAAGGTCATGAAAAGATCCTATGTGCTGAATGAAGGAAACTTGCCACTTCTCTGTGATGAAACACTATCAATGATACTGTCTAATTAACTACCTTTGTTCACCAATCTTCTGCAGCTTACAGTCTGGGTTTTCTTTATTTCTTTATAGCTATACCATGTGGCATGCAGGATTCCCCATCCAGGGACTGAACCTATGCCCCTTGAAATGGAAGCACAGAGTCATAACCAGTGGATCACCAGGGAAGTTCCAACAATCAGGGTTTTCTGTGTAGTTTTACTCAATGAAAAATGGGCTCATCAACTCCCACCCTATTATGATCCTCTTTGGGATTAATATATCAGCATTCTGATTTACAAATAACCTTCTGTGTATTGAATAATGTGCACCTCTCCTCTACAGATGAGTCACCACCCAGCATGTTGATAAATATTGCTTCTAGTTTTGCAAATCAGAGCATTAGACTCTGAAATGTACCACATCAAAGTAGCATCACCTTTGTAAAACTTCTCTGAGTGTCTGTGTGGGGTGACATTTATGTTGCTCATCTCTTCAAAACACAACACAAGCTGTAAAAATATTGGTAGATCCACTCACTGTTATTCCGAGACCAACAATGCTATTAATAACACAACTTCAATACAGAAATGGGAGAAAAAAAGCATGTTCTTAGCATTAATGAAGAATTAATACTGAAATCATCTAACAGATCACAGACATGCAAATAATTCACTGCCAAACATTTTAAACATCTTAAAAACACAACAAAATTTAAATTAAATGATTTTAATTCAGAATGTGAAAAAAAGTTTTTTAACTTTGTGGGGGGAATATGTGGTAAAAGTTAGTGTTTTTGAGTAAAGAAGCTTTTTCTGTACTTTCAATATGCTACTTTTAATTTAAGGAAACAATCAGAGAAGGTTCTTACTGTCACAGTGATATTTTAATTTCACCAGTACTACTTTGGCAGCTGCTTTTATTGAACTATATTAATAATCCTCAAATGTATGTTGATTGGCAACTTCCTTTAAGAAATAAAGCCGTTCTGGAAACAATTTTAATGGGATTTTGTTGAATCACCAATTGAGTCATCTATTTTTTTAGGAAAATTTAAAAAATTAGTATCTCCTTTCTGTTATTCCAAGACCCCAGCACTTCACCGTAAACATCATACATTGGCTCTATGAATGCCAAATTCGCAAAAACAAATAATTGCAAATTTAAGGATTTTCTTATTAACCAGAAAATAACTCTTATGAATAAATTATAATAAACATGAAATTATAAAATCAGTTCTCTCACGCTTGTTTACTAAATTGACAAAAAACTGAAATAACAAAGAAAAATGAATAGTAGTCAAGAGGAAAGAAACATTCTTGGGAAAAAAAAGTCATGTTAGAACTACATATGAAAAATGCAAAAAATTGTCTGGAGTTAACAGAAATAGAAGAACACTGTACAAACAGTGATCCTAAGTAATTTTCCAATTCTAGATAGTCTCTAATATTTTTAAAACTCACAGAAAATATATTTTGCTTTTAATTCCTTTAGAACCAGCTGGTAATATGCTAGAAGCTCATGCATAGTCATCATACTACTTGTGTGGTAAACAAGAAAGCATGCTTGTGTATCTAGAAAAGTTACTTTGAAATTTGCCAAAACTGACATGATGCTTTTGTGAAGCCAAACATTATCTGTTTGGCTCTTGGTGTAACAAGTTAAGTTTTAAAGGCTTTTGAGGACCCATGCTTATGCTGGTCTTAAATGCACCAGTCTAAAGGTAGGACTTAGTATCTGAAATACTGTAAAGTGAATTCTAAAAAGAGCTTAGAAAATTGCTTTAAAAGGTTTACTTTACTTTTAAAAGCATCTGTTGCTCCAGGTGCATGGTTTTTGTCTGGATGAAACTTCAAAGCAAGCTTTCTATAAGCTTTTTTCAAATCTTCATCACCAGCATCTTTGGTTACTCCAAGTACTTCATAGTAATTTTTACATTTGTTTATGCTGTGAACAAGAGAGTGTGTTATAAGTAAATTTCAAGGAAGAACTTTTAGTAATACTAATTTTTTATTGATTAGAATAGTATAAAAAACTATTTGTGGATTCTTTCCTCAATATCAAATATCGTTTATCCATCAAGGGTTACTGCTCCATTCTCTTCAACCACAGACCATCTTTCCAACCTCTCTCTAACTCTAAGAAGAATTGGCCATGAGAATGTTCTTGTACAATTTATCACAACCACAGGGAAGTAAAGCAGAGCTCATAACAAATATGGATGGAGGACAGAGCACATACTAAAAATAAGAGAGTAACAACAATTTCATAGTACTCTTAAATACCTAAGAAATCCCAAAACTCCTCTCAAGATGTCACACCTAAGGATTAACAGACATTGCATTTCAAGAGTTTTATTGTTGCATAATGCAAACCTAACCAAATATCAAAGCAACAGTTTGGTGCATGTAAAACAACTACTGTATCCTATGGCTTAAATGTCAAAGCAAGTGAATTCAGCTAGGCAATGTTAAGGAGAGTTCAGGTGTATCACTCTCTATGAAAGATAAAATCTCATAATAAAATACATTATGGGACTCAAAAACATTTGTTACACCTGATTTTCATTTTGATGAACACACTCTTAAAAGACTACTTACATAGTTTATAACCCTAAATATGCAACATTTAAGCCCAGAGTCTCTGAAGTAGGTTAGAAAGGAAGTACTGTGAATGGAGCAAAGAACACTAATCCTTTTGGATGCTTACATTTTGTCATGACCTAATAATTTTCCTTCACTAAAACACAGATATATTTTACATATTTTTTGGTGTGTACTTTATGACTTTAAATGTGTTCCATGTATGAGTGGCTTGATGACAGGTAGTAAGAGGTTAATGGATCTGAGGCACAATTGTTCACTGACAGCTAGAGGACTGCAAAGACTGACTCTAAGTGTTCAAAGAAAAGAGAAAAGATTGACCTTCTTTCGCTACTAAACCTATCAGTCATCACTGTGCTTGGTAAATATTTATGGAATAAATGAACTTCAGCTTTCCTTTCATAATGATAGCATTCATCATTTGTTATATGAACAAGGGTAAAAAGAGAACACACTGAAAAGATTATAGAATTCTTTTATAATCACATCAACAAAAATCTGTTAGGCAGTCTTCTTCATAGTAATAATAATGAAAATTAGACTTCTACTTTTGATAATAAATACTGACACAAGTCAATTTTATTTCATAAGCATGGCATTTCCTTTATTTAGGAAATAATATTTATTGAGCAATAAATAATTAATATTTATCAATTCATTATTGAGTCAATAATATTTATATCCCAGGGCTTTTGAGATCAGTTAGTGAACAAAACAGAAAATGATTACTCTACCTTTGTAGGGAAATCATTTTCCTAGATATGTTAAGAAAGTATGTGACAGAAATAAAGGGAAGAAGGACGTGTACAGAACACCTACTGTGTGTCCGGAAGAGGAGAAATTCTTTGAGAGGCCAGTAAAGAGGTATAAAGCCAATGTCACCAATGGACAAACTGTAGACTACATATTTCAAGTAATGCTAAAAATATATTCATTTACTTAAGTTTTCACACCTAAATAAGAAATTACCATTCACGTATTACTTTTAATTCACATATTGTTCATCATACTCTTTTTCACCAGCTAAATGCATTTGTCACACTTTTTATAGTTTGCTCCTTCTTCGCCATCCTCATTGAAGAATTAAAAAAGAAGCAAAGGAAGGATGGAAAAAGAAAATAAATTAAAAAGAGGTAAACTGTTACCTGCGCTGGAAGGAAATATTGTGGACAAAGGCCACAAAGATTTGTCTAGGAGCTCAACAAGGGCTCAAGGGCTGCATGGCTCAATTTTTATGTCTTCCTTTACGTGCTAGAAAGCATATTGGCTGGGGCAGGGAGGCCTTGTTCTATTCTTTTTTCATATGTTACAGATGACTTTTTGTTATTGTTATTATAGATGATTTTTAAATATACTCCAAATTTAATTGGTATTTAGGAAAATAATTCTTTATTCCTGAGACAAAAGATTACTGATTTTATAAATTTAGCAAAATGACTCATTTCCATTCAAAGAACTATAGCTTAAAATCAATCCTAATGAAATCCCCATAATTCAAATAATTTTAACAGTTATACGTAAGTGTTCCTAACTGATCAATATAATGATGGCCAGTTAATGATTTCACACTGATCTTCTATTTTTAAAACAAAAAGATGGGCTTTTTTCCCAATGAGATATTAAAAATCTCTTCAAATACGATCTATGACACCTTTTGCACTGTGATTTTTCAACACATTTCAACACTCAGAGACAATAAACAGTGCTTAGTTTCACAGAATATGAATTTTACAAAGTTACACACTTTTTGTTCAGTCTTACTGTATGCTAGCTCTTACTTATGCAATGGATACAGTATTATTGCATGGCTTCTCCCTTTGAGCCAAAATGTCACTGAGCAACTTGTTTGCATAATCATGCTAACCAACAAGATAACATGGCTTTCTTCAGAAAAATCCCCTGTGTACAGGTAAAACAAAAACACACAGCATGTGTTTGCTGGTGATCTGTTACCTCACTAAAGCAACACTTATGAAGGCTAATATGATGAATAAGTGTTACATGATTAGCCAAAGCTAAGCAACTCTTATATAAAGCAGCAAATGAAACACTCTGAATAACTCAGGGATTCTATTAAAGAATGTTCTGATCATATTAATCCCCCCCAAAACTACATTTATGTAATACAATAAAAAGTCATGCTAAAATTGACCAGAGAAACAATCTCTAAACACAGGCATAAAACTAAGCTAATTCTTGTAACTCACTAAGAATTCAATCTGAAACTTGGCTGGCTCCTCAATGCTAGCCAGCAATCCTCCCTTCCTGTCTGCCTTTCTGTCTGCAAGTATTCCATACTTTCACCATTCTTCTCAAGCTTTCAAACTCATCTCTTTCTTCTAACCTCAGAGAATAACTTCATCTCCAATTTCAAAGAGAATACAGACCCAACAGACAGGATCTCTCTCAACATTTTATTTCCATCTGCCCAATTCTGGCCATATACAAAAGTGGATCTGCACCCATTATCATCTTTCATTCTTCCATTCTCAAAATGTCCCCCTGCCTAGCTACTAAAAAAGAGGAAAACAAAACATCGCTCTTCTTTCTTTATTCCTACCATACCTTGAGCTACTCCTCTTTTCCTTTCAAGGCTAGAGTAGAAGAAATGAAGAAAAGAGATTTTTAAAAAATAATATCAGATTTAGGAGATTCCTATTCTCCAAAATTTCAATTATTTGGGGAAGGGGGTATATTTTCCAATATATAGGTGATTCTATAGTCTTTCTCTAAAAACAAATTATAATTCTAAATAAAAATCACATATAACAAAATTCACTCTAGGTCTTTTACTGAGAATATGTCCTCCTGGTAAAAAGTAATTTCTACCAGAAAATACAATTTGGTTTTTGGAGAGATATGGCTTCCTGGAACACATTTCAGCACACTGTTTAGTAGAAGCTTTTTCTTAAAGGAATTCAAAAGCAAGTCTCTCATTTATTCACTTATCTCACTTATTCAGCCTGTGACCCAACACTACAGTTATAAAAGTGGTCACCAACATTATTTATAATTCTTAAAGGACTTCACTACCATTCAGGCCAATCGAATACCCTTTACATGACTTTATCATAATTAGGGAATCTCTGTTCTTATTGTGGTCACATACAGATAAAATGTTACATTTAAACTTTAGCATAGGTATGAAAAAAAGTAAAATATAAATACATTGATACTTAATTAAAAAATAACTTCCATTCCAAATAATGCTGAGTTAAAAAGAACTAACTAAAAATAAGAATGGAGTAAAAAAGGAAAAAAAAAATGCAAGTCAGGTTAAAAGAGGATAAGAAAGGGCAAAAGAGAAAGAAAACTAGCTTAACCTACTCTTCACTTAAGCTAGTTCACTGCTATTCACTCTCCAAGTTGAATTGTCTGATTAATCACTGTTCAGAGTCCTTCACCCTTATACTTTAGATTTCCTAGAGAGCAATTTCAGTACAACATCAATAAAGCCTCCTTAAGCTGTAGAAGGGAATAATAACAGTATTTTTTCTAGTGTTTCATAGTCAGTTCATTTTCTTTCCAGAAAACATTTTCTTAATTACAAAATTAATAAAAGTTAAATCTCCAAAACTCAGTTCATAATTTACCAATTCTACCTAGTTTTTTTGCTTTAAGTAGAGGTGTATCATGAAGTAAAAATAAAACACTGAAGCAGAATAATGAGAGTAAGAAAAAATATTAAAAGAAGACATTATAGTATTTGCTATATATAAAGACAGCCTTAAAGAAAGAATATAAATAGAAAAAAAAATTATCCTTCATTTATATAAGTAGAAAATTGAAAATGTTTTGCAATTGTGCACAATATGCTCCTCATATGAAATTATCCTTCATACACATATATACACATTTGTTGTTGTTGTTTGGTTTTTTGTTTGTTTGTTTAGTTGCTAAGTCGTGTCCGTCTCTTTTGAGACCCCCTGGACTATAGCCCACCAGGCTCCTCTGTCCATGGGATTTCCCAGGCAAGAATACTGGAGTTGAGTTGCCATTCCCTTCTCCAGGGGCTCTTCAGACCCAGGGATAAAACCCACGTATCCTGCATTGGCAAGGGGATTCTTTACCACTGAGCCATCAGGAAAGGTTTCACTGTACTGTGTCAAAAAATTGAAGCAATTTACCTAAAAAAATTTTTTTTTGTAATTGGTTTTGTGCCTTATATTTAAAAGATGGAAATTTCAATAGAATTGGTAATTTACACTACTTTATAAAGAATATAAAGCATAAGACACCAAGAGTTCAACTCCTCAATGTCTGTTCTTCTATTGAATTGTAATTAAAACCCATTTTTTAGGTGTTACAACATTAAACTTACATTAGTATCAACTACAGCTGACACATATAAATCATATTCATTCCTACCTGAGAACGCCATCTACTTGGTCTTTGGTGTAGCCTTTTCCACTTTCACCACTACCAGATGAGCTGTCCTTTGTGCAATTAGGTTTGCTTTGATCACCACTACCTGATGGTTTTCGGCAACGAGGGCTATTTCCAGCAGTGCTTCCATTTTTCATGATTATTTCCAACAGTGCTGTAGAAAAGATATGGAAAGCATACTCCATCTGTTTACATCAAGGTACATACACATAGTCTTAAGAAGAAAGTTATAAAGCTGACAAAATGTGTACTCCAGGAAGATACACCACAGGGCATTTTTAAATAGATAGTAAGCATTCCCTTATGTACTTAGCTGTTCACAGATCACTAACCACTATTTAGAAGTAGAATAGTAAGTTTAATGTTAAAAACTCAAAATTACTATCACCTAATTTCTTATGACATACTTTATTTGTAATAAAATGGTGAAACTGCCAAATACCAAGGAAAACAATAATCCTTAAAGTAGCCGATGAGATTATCTACAAAGAAACTGCCAAATACCAAGGAAAACAATAATCCTTAAAGTAGCCGATGAGATTATCTACAAAGAAACAAAGTCTATAAGTAGACGTCCTACTTATTTCCCAACAGCAACAATGGCAGCTAAATTGAGTAATAGCTTCAAAATGCTCAGGGAGAATAACTGTCAATTTGAGTTCTGCACTGCTGTTGCTGCTGCTGCTGCTAAGTCGCTTCAGTCGTGTCCGACTCTGTGCGATCCCATAGACCGAAGCCCACCAGGCTCCACCATCCCTGGGATTCTCCAGGCAAGAACACTGGAGTAGGTTGCCATTTCCTTCTCCAATGCATGAAAGTGAAAAGGGAAAGTGAAGTCACTCAGTCATGTCTGACTCTTCAAAACCCCATGGACTGCAGCCTACCAGCCTCCTCCATCCATGGGATTTTCCAGGCAAGAGTACTGGAGTGGGTTGCCATTGCCTTCTCCGGAGTTCTGCACTAATTTTCTGGAAATTATATAAGATTAAAAACATTTTCAAACAAACAAAGACTGAGAAAATTATCACTAAGATTTCACTAGAAGATATTTACTACCTTGAGATACCACTGTACATCCACTAGGATGACTATAATCAACAAGGTGGACAATAACATGTTGGCAAGGATGTATTACTAGGAAAATTACTAGGAACATTCATATATTGCTAGTGGTAACAGGAAATGGGGTGCTTGCTTTGAAAAAAGATATGGTAGTTCTTTAAAAGATTAAACATATAGTTATTATCTGACCCAATAATCCTATCTCTCGGTGTATATCCATGAGAAATGAAAACATACATGTATACAAAAACTGGTTCACATATGTTCATAACAGTATTCTTCATAATAGGAAAAAAGTGGAAGCAATTGAAATGTCCATCAACTGATGAGTAGATGAATAAAATGTGAAATGTCCATACAATGGAGTACTATGACAATAAAAAAAAAAATGAAGTATGCTGCAATATGGCTGAACCTTGAAAACATACTAAGTGAAAAGTCAGTCACAAGAGACAATATACTGTATGATACCATCTATACAAAATGAACAGAATAGGCAAATCTAGAGACAGAAAGATCAGTTGTTGCCAAGGGCTACTGGGGAGGAAAGGATGAAATTTGGGAGAAGTAAGAAGTGATTGCTAGTGAGTATGAGGTTTCTTTCTGTGATGAAGAAAATGTTCTAGAATTAATGGTTGCAATGGCTGCACAACTCTGTGAACCCACTGAATGGTATACTCTGAATGAGCTGTGAGATATGTGAATTACATCTCAATAAAGCTGCTCTACATCTTCCCTTGTAGCTCAGTTGATAAAGCATCTGCCTGCAATGCTGGAGACCCGGGCTCAATCCCTGGGTCGGGAAGATCCCCTGGAGGAGGAAATGGCAACCCACTCCAGTATTCTTGCCTGGAGAATCCCACAGACAGAGGACCCTGGCAGGCTACAGTCCATGGGGTTGCAAGAGTTGGACACGACTTAGCGACTAAACCACCACCACCAAAGCTGCTATATAGCTATTTTTAAAAATCCAGCAGTCATTGCCACATAGCCTGTGGGATCTCAGTTCCCTGACCAGGTACTGAACCCAGGTCATGGTAATGAAAGTGCTGAATCCTAACCAGTAGATCACCAGAGAACTGTCAGTAATTATTTTTAATATTTCAGAAAAACATCTGCTTCATTGAATACACTAAAGGCTTTGACTGTGTAGATCACAGCAAACTTCAGAGAATTCTTAAACAGATGGGAATACTAAACCACCTTACCTGCCTTCTGAGAAATCTGTATGCAGGACAATAAGCAACAGTTAGAACTAGACACGGAAAAACAGACTGGTTCCAAATTGGGAAAGGAGTATGTCAAGGCTGTATACTGTCACCCTGCTTATTTAACTTCTATGCAGAGTACATCATGTGAAATGCCACGCTGGATGAAGCAGAAGCTGGAATCAAGATTACTGGGAGAAATATCAATAACCTCATATACACAAATGACACCACCCTTATGGCAGAAAGTGAAGAAGAAATAAAGAGCCTCTTGATGAAAGTGAAAGAGGAGAGTGAAAAAGTTGGCTTAAAACTCAACATTCAGAAAATTAAGATCATGGCATCTGGTCCCATCACTTCATGGCAAAGAGATGGAGAAACAATGGAACCAGTGACAGACTTTTATTTTCTTGGGCTCCAAAATCACTGCAGATGGTGACTGCAGCCATGAAATTAAAAGATGCTTGATCCTTGGAAGAAAAGCTATGACCAACCTAGACAGCATATTTAAAAAGCAGAGACATTACTTTACCAACAAAGGTCTGTCTAGTCAAAGCTATGGTTTTTCAGTAGTCATGTAGGGATGTGAGAGCTGGACTATAAAGAAAGCTGAGTGCCGAAGAATTGGTGGTACTGGAGAAGACTCGTGAAAGTTCCTTGGACTGCAAAGAGTCCAACCAGGCAATCCTCAAGGAAATCAGTCCTGAATATTCATTGGAAGGACTGTTGCTGAAGCTGAAACTCCAATACTTTGGCCACCTGATGAGAACTGACTCACTGGAAAAGATTCTGATGCTGGGAAAGATTGAAGGCAGGAGAGAAGGGGACAACAGAGGATGAGATGGTTGGATGGCATCACTGACTCGATAGACATGAGTTTGAGCAAGCTCCCAGAGTTGGTGAAGGACAGGAAAGCCTGGCATGCTGCAGTTCATGAGGTTGCAAAGAGTTGGACACAACTGAGTGACTGAACTGAACTGAACATATAAGAGAAATTTCTTCCAAATCTTTTTCATAGCTCATGCATTCAAGAGGTCACCAAATACATAAGATATTTAGTTTTTATAACAATTTAGTTGTAGATGGTACAGAAAGGCTCTTAATTAGCTAGCTACCTAGTAGTTTAACAAGATAATAACATATAGTTTATTTTTAACTATAGTTCACATTTAATGCAATCACATTGACCTTGAGAGTAGAAGCCATCATAGTCTAGGGGGTAGTGGTTCACAACTTACTACTATGAAAAGTTCTGTGGAAATTCTGGGAAGGCAGAAGCTTAAATTTTAAATCTCATAAAACCAGAGCAGTTAGGTAACAAAATCAAAACATCATGTACAAAATCCCAAAATACAAAAAGCTGGGACAAACCACCAACAGTTGCAAGATCTATATGGGTATTAGTATTTGTGTGGGAAAATACAGATAGTAACAGGGCATTTTATCAGCCCATAGAACAAATAACTCCAAAAGAGCAGGCAAGGACTCTCTATGAAACACAGCAGGCAAAAATGAGAAAAGGGAATAAAAAGAAGTGGGTTTTGCTCACTACAATAGCATGTGATTGAAAGGATCTATAATAAAATCTTAAGAGCATACAGTACTCCAGTCACTAGAAGTCTTAAAACGAATCAGTCAAAGCTCTTCTCTAGAGCAAAGCCACATAAAGAAGAAATTTCTAGGAACAGGATCCAAACTGAAGAGGATAGGGGAATGGAGAAAAGAAAATAGAAAATTCAGGTCACATGAGGAAGGAGAGCGTGAAGAGATCTTATATATCAAGGTGACATATTTTCAAACACTACACAGAAACTGGAGATCTCTGTGTATTTTGACAGACTAACTTCATATAAAAATAAATAAAATGATAAAAGTTAAATCTGATACAAAGTCACAAAAGATAAAAGAAAACAGGACAGATCTCCAAACACAATGAAAGCACACCACAAAGACTTGCAAACAAAATAGGTAACACTACAACCTACTATTTCAAAACAAGCTGAAAAGACTTTTTAAAATTATACATTATACAAAAGAACAACATAAATTTGAACAAAAACAACCCCCCAAATTATCTACCCATTGCTTAAGTGATAAAACTCGGGGTGGGGGGTGGTAATAAAAGGAAGAATCAATTCAAAAAAGAACTAAACTAGAAGAAACAAAGAGTTAATAAACACAACAGATAATGTTGTCTAGGTAAAAGAGAACATAAAAAGGAAGGAAAACTTTTTAATTAAATGAAAAAGACAAAAAATTAGAAAGAAATGGCAGATATTGAAGTCAGTTAGAGAAGATCCAACATACACAGGAGTCCTGAAAAAGAAAATTAAAGGAAATAAAACCAACAATAACTAGAGAAAACTTTTCTGATATAAAAATAAAAATATCTGAAACCAAATAATGAAAGGGCAAATTACATATCTAAGAATACTGACCCAAAAAAACCAACATCAAGATATATTCTAGTGAAATTAATTGGGCATCTAGTCAAAAAGATTAAATGGCTTATAAAGGAAAGAGTATTAGATTGTCAGTCTTTGCTCATCAGTAGTACTTGTATAAAACAATAGAATAATATACTTATATATCCAAAGAAAGAAAATTTGAGCCAAAGATTTTGTATCCATCACTAACTTCAAGTATTAAGACCCACAGATGAACTGTTTTCAACATTCCCCAAAACTTAGGGAACACAGTTCCCACAAGGCCTTCCTAGAAATCTACTATAGGCTTTAGGAATCCAAAATAAATAGATATACAATGACAAAAGGACCAATGGTAAACATTAAATGTACAGTGACTTACTGAATTAAGACTGAATGACAACTAAAAGAGAGTACATAGTATGTAGTGATAATGTGCTCTGACACTGTAGATAGGT